TTTTTAAAAAAAATGACCTTTTTTAACTTTGAACTCGATTGTATATTTATATTGAATCTGTTGTTGTAAATTTTAATTATCCGATTCAACGTTGGCCTCTTCCAGCTATAAGTTGAAGTAGAATTATATTTTTGGGATAAGAATTATATCTTTATTGAATGAATTTGTTTTATGCAATAATTCTGCTCACGAAAAATCAATTATTTCTGGCTGCTTGATTCCACCTCAGTCTATTTCTTGTTTCTATTATTGAAAAGGTCTTTAAAAGAATTTACGTATACAGTATGCTTGTTGTGTGTGTTCGAAGAGAGCAATTCATGGAGTTCTGAATCAAAACAAAAGGCAAAAATAGCATATAAATTTTTTTAACCAAACAAAGGAAAAATCGCTCGCAACAAATTTAAATGAAATATTAACTCTGTTTAATAAAAATTTATTAAAATCGTTGTCTCAACATTGATTTAAAAAAAAAAAAATCAATGCCCCAACAGTGTTTTTCAAAAAAAAGAAAAAAATTCAAAAAAAGAAAAAGTTGACAGAATAAGGGGAGAAGCCACCGGAAAATGGAACTTTTACCAAAACACATATAATCACGGTGATGAAACACATTCTTGAGATTATTACAATACAACCAAACAAACATTGACAAGTTAAAAGCTGAAAAATGCACATGAAAAACAGAATTCAATTAAAATGACAAACTTGCAAGTACATTTACAAAAGTTTCCACAACAACAAAAAAATGGAGATTTGAGGTTTAGAAAATTTGACAAAATCCAGCGATTTTAATTTTTTTTAAAAATTGAAAAAATTGCTATTGGGAAAGCGATTTTATTTAACGGATTAAACGAAGTTAATTTTGTCAGTAGGACGTCACGAGCGATTTTGCTCTTTTGGTTAAAAATTTGGTTAAAAAAATAATATGTTTTTTTGAAGGATTGCTTTTATGACAAGAAACCAGTGCATAAAGTTTCTTTTCGTAGAGGATTCCTACCTGGAAAGAAATATTAAGACAAAGCCGCAAACGAAATCCTAAAAGGGAAAGGAATCCTTACAAAGACCAACTCTGAATCAAAGAAACAATGAGCTTCGTAATAAGTAAAGGAACAGATTGCAGTACATGTTCTTTAGGCAAATTGAGGGGTCAGTATTCCACATTTTCTCCCCAAGTTCAAATTTTGTATTCCTATTACTAACATATTTGTCGCTAAGTTTCTTTAACAATTAATATATCCCCTTGACAAACAGGGGCATATCTATGTAGGCTCGAGGGGGTGCCACAACACCTGGACGTTTCAGTTGAAATTTTGTGTTATAACGAAATGTTTAAATATTAACCATGGCACTCAAGAAAAAATGAGCTTTGCGGTGCGAGTGGTTAAAATTCTAGCTTAACACTTTAAGTAGCAATTTCAAGCCCTGCGGGGTGTATTTTCTTGGAACTTTTTTTATCCTGATGACATCCTGTAGTGAAAACCATTAACCAAAATCACAAAACACACAAAAGGGGTTTCGAACTTGAGACCTCCGACATGGAAGTCTCAATCCCAAACCACTGGGTCACCTCCAAAGGGTGAGTTCTAGATGCTCCTCTCTGCACCTTATATAAAGAAAATAATTGGAAACTCAAACAAGGCACAAAATCATCCTAAAATATTCACTGCAATCTCAACTCTCAAGTATACATGACTTTTAATTCTCTGAAAGAATTATACCAAACACCTGATTAAACATCTACAAATATAGTAGATTTGGATAAAATTCAGAACTATAGTACATACTTTAACCAAGATCCTCCTAGTTTGCTTGTCCATGTCCTCCAGGATGTGGATTCGGCTCCCCATGAGTATCATCGCTACTGCTACTATCACCATCATTCTTCACTCCATCGTTGCTTCCCCCACCTCCAGTACTGCTGCTCGTCTCAGCATGTGATTGCAACCCCCTTAATAACCCTGGTACTGAAATCCTAACCCTTCTCTCCACTGTTCCACGATTCCCCCGACTCCCTCCAACTTCTGCACCCATAGAAAACAACGCACCATAGCTCTCCACTGTTCCACCATTCCCCTGATTTCCTGCATCCACAGAAAGCAAACCACCATTGCTATCCAATGTCCCCTGATTTCCTCCACCTTCTAAACCCCGAGACAACAAACCAGCATTGTTAGCATTCCTACGTCTCCTAATCTCATAAGCAAAATCATCGGTAGGCAACTCAAATCGACATACAGGGCACGAATTACGCATTTCTAACCAAGGCAAAATACAATCGTTATGGTACATATGCTTGCAAGGCATTTGTTTCACCATTTCATCCAGCTTAAAACCATCTTTACAAACAGCACATTGGGATAAATCCGAATTCAACAACTCATCACTCACCCTAACATCAGGAAGGCCCAAAACAGCCGATCTAGCAGCAGGTGGCGTACCATTCATGTTCAAGTCAATCACAGCAAGTTGACGGATCAGCTGCACGAGATACCGCCCCACAGTAAAGTCACCAAAGATAATCGGTAGCTCATTCTCATGATTGTTTTCAAGCAGCAATTGAATAGTTCCATCACCATCCCTATTCATGAACGTAACAGGGTCTACTTCAACTGGTGATCGGCCGAAACCACTTTCGAAGAGTGCAGAAACTTCATCGTCGCTTTCGTTACCGGAATCGGTGGGGAAGGAAAACGATGAGTCAGGATTTGCTCCGGTAACAGGATCTGGAGAAGGGGATTCTTCTACAAATGTACCATTGCAATTAGGGCATGAGAGTTCAGAATTTGGCAATGGCACAGTGCTCTGACATCCATAGCAGTAGTAATTCAGAGCTGAATTTCCGGCCATTTCTCCGCCGCCAGTGTTCCCCGCCGACGACATTGGATATGTAAAAGAGAATTATGAGTTGTAACTTCTATGTGTAGAAAGTATTTATAGAGAAAAGTATGAGAGACCACAAGAATTTATCTGACACATTTTTTCAATGTCAGAATTTATAACCTAAAGTCCAGTCTGGACATCATTAATTAAATCAAGTAAAATGATTTTCACTATATTTAACCTATATATGAAGATTAGAGGTGGTTATTTAGTATTTGGTTCGGAATTTTTAAATTTTCGATAGAATAACATGCTAACGAAAATACCTAACTTTTAAATAATTCGGTAATAGCATTTTTAAGTTGGAATGCTTTTCCTTGTATGATTTTCTTTCTTTATGTTTTATCACTCGCAAATGATGTTTCTTCATTCATTTTTCTATGTGTTGATATTTTATATGACCAATATAACACTCGATCTGTTAGATATTATGATCTTTTTGAAAACTTTTTCAAAAGAGTTAGCAAAAAAAAAAATTCTCACACTAATTATTTTTATTTTTCCATGCAAACACACAATATAAAAGAATATCTAAAAGAAAGAAAAAACTTGTCCTAAGGAGTTAGAAATTAATGTATGCACCCCAAACACAAATGAACAATCAATGCAAATTGTAATCGAGGCATATGTACCTAATCTTTTATGACCATATATAATGCTAGTAAAAATACTAGTAACAAGGAAATACTATCCATCGTACAAAGTAAACGTATCACTTTGTACCATTGATTAGCACCATGAAAAGATAGAAATCAAATAATAATTTCTTTTATTAGATAATAATTCTATCAAATATCAAAGATATTAATGTCTTGTGTCAAATTTCAACCTGAATATCTAAAGTTCAAAATTTTACTCCCTAAACCCTTGACAAGCTAGAAGAGTTAATGAGAATTAAGGAGTTTTCTCAAATAGTGGCAGTTTGATGCATAATTACTATACATTAACATAACCATACTTCTAATAATTACTAAATATAATAACTCTTTATAGAATAAATAACACACGATACATTGTGATTCAAGAGAAAATCACGCAAAAATCTTTTAAAATAACAAAATCCAGTAAAACATCCATATCTTCAGTGCAAAAATAGAAAATGTAATTTGGTTTCTCGTTTCTTCTTTGATTTTCAAACTCTAATGGAAACATGAAGGTTAAAACTCAGTCAAAATCTACATTTGTAAGTATAGTATCAATGAATCTAAATAACGAATGAAATGTTATATCATTAGATTAAAGTATATGTATCTACAAGTATAGAGTGCATCACTGTATCTCAAGTATGGTTGTGTATCATTGTTTCTAGCTTTCTGTTTGTCCAAGTTAACATAACATACTTTATTAATGAATCTAACTTTCAATTTTGTGTGTATCACTGTCTAAGCTTTTTGTTTGTCCAATGTATGACTAAATAAAGAATTAAATGTTATATCATTTTATCACTATATTTAGAATGAAATACAGTTAGTTGTTTGTAATGTATTATAAATATGGAATATATCACTGTATTAAGCTGTTCCCATCAGAAAACATATTTTTGATTTTGTTTTGAGGATTTTGATTCAACTTCATTTGTTGAATTCAACAATAAGTTAAGAATTAATGTTATATACATAATACATTTCATTTTCCTTTTTCTAGAATAGAATATTACAGCTGCACTTGCAGAGCTTGAACTTTACCAGAACAGCAAGAGAACTTTCAAAAATGGGGCAAACTACCCTCCCAGCCCTAATATGTCATATGAGGCTACAAAAGCTAAATCAGCCAAGTTTTGTTTCCCATCATTAGAGTAAAATCAACCTACTTCATCTTTCTTAGTACTGTTTGGACTTTCCTCATTCGTATCGGCAATCACGCTTGTGTCTGTTTTCCTTGAATCTGTTCCACGTGCACGTTTCCTGGAATTCCTGGGTGAAGAGGCAACAGAAGATTGGTTCGCCTGTTCAGGCATGTCAGAAGCACACTTCGGTACCGTAGGGTGATCTCTGTCCCGCTTTGTTTTCTTTCTAGACCTCTTGGAACAAGTAGGATCTTGGGGTTTGCCAGCAGAATTACTGGAATGTCTAGACTTTGACTTGACTTGGGAAGAAACAGTCCTAGGTGGATTCGAATTCAAGTATAGAGAACTGGGCTGGTCATCCGTTGCTTTGTCAAACCTAGTAGCATGGCTTTCAGTAATGCTACAAGAATTTCCTTTTGAATTACCATGTGTATAAGGTACATGTTGAACATAAGAGTCTTCCAATGCAACTTTATCCATCTCCTGGCCAAAACAAAGTTATTGAGCAAAATAAAAGTTAGCAGAAAAGTTGGTACAAGTCTCCATAAGACTGCAAATTCTGAAGTTTATGCTGGTCTTCTTTTCTTTTTGATGAGAAGATAGAGAATGAAGCTTATGATTGTAACTTAGTGTTGATGCAGTAGTTTCTGGGTGCACATACATAATATTAGTACTTGCGCACAGATGAAAAACAAAATTATCAAGCTTGTGGAGTAATAAGAAAGATTGGCACCTAACCACTAAACACCGGGAAGTTCCTGACATTCTTTAGTACAAAGAAAACATGATTGACAGAATAACTAATTTGGGAAGCAATAACTGGACTGCCTTAATAGAAGTCCTAGAAATTTTTAGCAGAGTTATTTTCAAGAGGTACCTCATTTTCATCATTGGTTATCTCCTCAGATTCAAATATTTCCTCTCCTTCTGAATCCTCCATCTCCTCACACTCAAACTCTACACTCTCTCCTATTTCTTCCTCTGAGTCACTTAGCTCTTCCTGCTCCATCACAATTTCTATAAGAGACTGGTCTTCCAAATCATCAACGCCATTTCCAGTTTCTTCATCGCTGGACAAAATCCTTGCAGTGGCACCTGAATCACTATGCTGGGTGGTTCTATTTGGAGTTCCATTGTTTAGAGGATTTTGATCTCTAGAAGCACTAGTTGGTGACCTTTCCATGAAACGGTCAGCCACCCCTCTGCTTCCAATGGCTTTCTGTTTACTGCACGTGAAACTCAAGTGCATCTCCAAGTCAAGCTCATTGCTTTTTCCCATAGGGCTAGAGGGTATAGCACATGCAACATTTGAACTACTATCAACAGCATTCTGAACTTGAGTGCACCATCCTCTTGATGTTTCTGATGTACAAGAGGGTCGTGTAACAGTAGATGCAACTTCCAAGTCACAATTTGCATCATCAATTCTTTGCAGAAGCGGATGGAAGTCAAAACCAGATGACATTGAAGTTTTATCCCCAGGATTAGAAGACTTGTCAAGAAAGTTAACAGTATGGGCTGATTGGTGTGGATGATGAAAGAGGCTAAGATTAGGCTGACAACCTGAAAAGAAATTGAACGAACTGGATGTACTAAAACTAGAGTTAGACTGATAATGTGGAAAAGGACCATCTTCAGGGGCCCGGAAGAGCAAAGGATGCATCCTTAGACCTGACTCATCCTTTTCTTCTGTAACATTCTTATTGTCCTTAGACAATCTGGTTTCCTGTAGATTCTGATTACTTATATTGTTCCTCCCGGCACTACTGCTTAATGGTCCATCTTTCACAAAATAATTAGTACATGGTTTTGCAGCATTTGCAGTTTTTGGGACTGCATTGTCTCTTACACCATCACCGGTAGAAGCATCCCCACCAAAAGCCCTCGGACATGTTCCAACATGATAGCTTTTGAAAGCCGACTGAGACATTACTCGAACAGATGGTGGAAGATTAACAGGAGGCAGACCTGGCGCTAATTTAACTAACTGCCCATTGTTAAATTTACGGGTTCCGTTTCCCCGCGAAAAAGACTCAGTTTCTGACGACCTTCAAGTCAGATGATAAGTATAGTGAGTCAGCACAATGGAAATGCAGAATGTCTGCAACCTCAAAAAAACACATGAACTACGAAGCGAAAAAAAAGGAGTACAGTGATGCAATGAGTACCTCCGAGAAACAGGGAACTCATTAGAGATATGGGATTGCCAATTTCTAGAACCACTGTTATTCATCTTTTCAGCAACTTGAGAACTCTCCACACCCAATAGCTGGAGTGGAGGAATTTTCTCTGCCAGGTTTGACATAGAATGATTCACCTGGATGCTGGATACAGAAGGCCTCCAATCTGCCAAAAAGGCCTCATGAACATAAGCTTCCTCATTTCTGTCTGTACAATTATCTGCACCACAATTTCCTTCGATGGCGCTGTCAGCAACATCATCCTGCATTTTTTTTCATGAGCAAACACATGTTTATATATAACTGCACCCAGTTGATGCATTCGAAATTACAGAGCATTGAAGTTATAGAACATTCTCAAAAGTGTAGGAACCAATAGAATCCACTCATCAATCATTCAATTAACTCAATTTCAAAAACAAAATAATCACGCAATTAACTCTGCGGTCTGCCTCAATCACAAACTAGTGATTTTGGCATCAATCGACGGACCCCAAAACATGCTAAAAATGCATCAGAACTCATCAGCCACATCATAATATAAAAACAAAGGATTTACATTTTAGTCTCCTCTTAACACAGGTAACACTTGGTAAAGCCTCTTTTGCTTAAACGTCCTGAGGTAGACATGCCTCATGAACTACTATCCAGCCAAAGCACGAAACACTGGGAAAACCTCTAGTAGCGAAATAATTTACCAAAAACAAGGAGAAAAGAAATTCTACTACATGATGGACAACTCTTTGGCACCAACACATAAACATTTATATCTGTAGTACAGGCATTCTCAGCTTAGCTAAAATACTCTGCAAGTACAAAAGATCACAAACAGACCTTAACTATAATACTGATAGACAATAGGTCCCACTTAGATGGGACAGATTGCTCAAGTGTGCTTATAATTCAATCAACAATCAGTTACACGTCAAGCACAAATTTGCTGGGCTCAGCTTATATGAATCCTCTACATTTATTCCAATATATTCTAACCCATCTCATTCCAAAATTGGTCCTTTAAGCTAAACTAAGGGTTCTCTAAAACTAGCTATATCTCACAATAATATTTGGAATTAAAAAGAAGGAAACTGACGTTTAGATTAGCTTCAAAAGGGTTCTGTTGATTCTAATCAATGATTAACTTCTTTAAAAAGTAAGTTTTTAACTATTGGCTTAGAAGAACTAAGGCTCGTCTATTTAATTAAATGCCTAATCTTTAAACTATTCACCAGACTGTAACAGAACATACTGGTGAAAAGGATAGTTCTTGACAAAGTGCACCTTTCCAACATCGACAGTGGATGCAAAACAGCAGCTTGAATGGAAGACGCAATCTTACCTTCTTTCTGGAAGAAATATGCCAAGTTTCTGAAGCACCAGATTTTAGTTTTTTTCTCTCTGATTCATACAACCGACGTTTTGCCTTCTTACTAGCATCAGATATGTATGATTTCTGTGTTCCAATAGCTGTGCGCCATTGCCGGGGTAACAAGGAAGGATCTCTATAAGGAACAATAAACTTCCACACGGACATCCAATCAAGCTTGAACACCTTCAGGCCCTGCGTGATCATGACCATGTAAACAGTGAGGCAGCGACGATGGAAATGATGATACAGTGTAAATGTATTTTGTCATGTATATTTACCTCTTCAATACGTGCAACCTCTTCTGCTGTCAAGGGAGAGTTTTTCATCCTTCGAACAGCCTACAATAGTCATTACAACATTATTTACCATGCTCAATGACCATGATAATCAATCAAAAAATCTGAATAACATCGAGAATAATCAATCAAAAAATGCATTCCTAGCAACATATTTTGAAACTACTGAGTAACTGCAAGAAAAGATCATGATTAATGGATGCATTGTTATTGCAAGTTTCAACTTGATTTGATGAATCGGGAAATCATTGTAGAGTTAAAGACATTCTTGGAAAAGTTGGAGGAGTGGAAGAGAGATCATCAATTTCAAACTGGCTTCAACATCTCCAGCATGTCCCAAGTCCCAACAGATGAATGAATAGATTGGGGAAGAGCTTTTGCAGGAACTTTTGTGGCAGTTAAAATGGAGCCATAATGTTATCACTAGATTGTTTCCTAATGTTCTATGTACAATACTGATACTAGTAATAAACCTTTATTGGATTATCAGGTGCTTTAGATGATGAGCGATTCTTCTGTCGGACAAAAATCTGCAAAAAAGGTCAAGTATTTCACCATGTTAAGCACAAGGCTAACACTAGAACTACAATGAAATCAAGAGGATAAATAACTGACAGCAGAGTTGTTGCCATCAAAGGTGCACATAAGAATCACCTGATGCTTAGATTTGCAAGGAAGATACCGCTGCTGAATTGCTTTCCAATCTGTATTATACTCCATCAAACCCAATGCTAATAGTCTGCACCAGATGCCAAGGTTATATTAGTATACTATTTAATAAGGTAAAAGCAAAACATCAACATGTGGGTAAAATGGGGATCATCCATAATATTACAAATTTAAGAACCTTGTAGGGAATGATGAAACTGCCTTAGTGGAACACGAATAATACACTGTACTTAACAAAGGCACAATTAAAAGACTAGTAAAATCTTTATTTCAGAACAACTACTAGGCTCTTACAGATATAGGCAATTAGCTTCACCCAGTTGTTTTCATACTTAATAGATGTAACAGAATTATTTTCCTATTTACCACAACACCTAATATTGTGTCATGCTGAGAAATAAGTTGCAAAGATCATTCATTTGTGAGAAACCTCATAATGCTTTTTCTCCATAAGATATGAAACCCAACATTCCAACTTTGCAACCATAAACCATAAATAATTTACTACTTTCTCATTATCATGCTGAGAAATAAGTTGTAAAAGAGATCATTTATTTGGGAGCATTTTCAGAATGCATTAACTTTTCGTGAGATATGAATTCCAACAATCTAACTGTGCAAACTCCGAACCCAAACTAAAATCACTACTTTCTCTTTTCTTCCTATAGCAAAGAGTTTAATTCACCACCTATCACTGTGGCAGAGACTGACAAATGTGGAGGAGAGCAATATGAACTAGCAAAAGCAAGAAGGCACCAAAGTCGAAACAATTTTACAATCACGGCCTAGTCAGTAAAACAACTCATTTCATAAGAATACTGCTGTTGCACAAAAATAAAAGGACATAAACTCACTCATCCTCTGCATCAGTAAAAAGCACCCGGTTTGCTACCATTGCAGGGGGTGGCTTATGAGGATACAGAGCAGGATTAAACAAAGGATAGAAGCGCTGAGCTAACTTAGCAATCTCATTTGGAACAGAAGCAACAGCCTGTTGTTTAGCTTTTTCTACTAATACAGCAGCCAGAGTCTTCTTTGATTTTTGAGAAATTGATGAAGAAGGAGGTACAGAGTTTGAATATAAGGAAGCCCGACCATCAGGTTCGGCAGTAAAATGAATATTTTGCACAGGAAACAAGGGTTTCTTCTCCGAGCAGCTGTCATTCAAACCTCCTACTTGCCGACATTGGTAATCTTGCACAGCTGTCAATAAATATAACCAGTGATAAATTAAAGTAAGTATCATAAACTGAAAAGAATAAGAAAATCAAATGAAATTTGGTTTTCTAACATAATATACCATGAGAAACGTCATCCATGAAGTCTTTGACTAATTTGATCGGAGCCACATCAAGAACAGATAGTATTGGACCATTTATATGAGGTACCCAGGAGCCTAAAGGGCATCCCACCTGATTATTTGTAAAGCCTCGCTGCAAATCATGTGCTGAAGAAATTTTGTTGGTAATTTGGAAAGGTGAAATATGCAAAGGTTCATCAGATACCGAAGGACAAACATACGGGGAGAAGAAGCAAAAACTGGGATAGGGAACACTCCTATTTGCTAATACTTCATCACGTTTACGAAGCATTTGAGAAATCAATTCCCCAACATTAGAAGCAATGTGCCGTTTGGCCGGCTCAAGAACACAAACAGCAAAAACCTGAATAAGAAGTTGAACATGCTCATGTATCAAACAATGTAATTGTCCTATCTGATGGGGTGTAAATCCATTCACAAAGCCATCATTTGCAGGCAGCAGACTGGATGGAGGCATCATGCCTTTTGCACCATGTACGGAATAAGGAGAACTGGGAAGATATGGTAACAAAGGGCGTAGTGGCCTATCTGACAATCCTAAAATCTTATTCTTGTTCTCAAGAGAAGATCTTTGGCGCCTGGTTTGCCTAGTCTTAGGTCTTCGACCAACAGCCTCGTACTCTTCAATATCATCCTTCAGATGTTCATCAAGGTCACTCTCCAATGCCTCCTCAATTTCAAGCTCAAAATCTGCATCATTGTCTTCATCTTCATCATCAACATTTTCATTATCTTGTATATTTCCAGAATTTCCATCTCCACCATGTAAAACAGCTGCAAGAAACTTCCTGTACTCTTCTTCATCGTTGACATTCTGAAGATCATCCTCGTCATCAGTCTCCTGAAGAAATGTCTCAAGTTCATCAAGTGTAAAGCTAGCAAGTGAGTAGCGTGCTCTAGTACGCTTACATATAGCATCCTCATTATCCATATCTATGATGGATCTACCTGAATTTGCTATATTATTACACCCTCCAACTGAAAGATCCTCAAAGTGATCACCCCCTCCATTCAACACAGTCTTCTTGCTATTTGAAATTCCACTTTCAGGTTCGGTATCTAGAGTGGAATCTCTCTCCTTAGGTTCAGAAGGCGAAATTTTCCTCAAGTCTTCTGGACAAGCCGCAGAAGAAGCTCTATTTCGCATCACAATCTCCTCACCAAGTTCTTTGTCACCAATGAGACAATCCTGTGAAAAATCTGGCAATCTTTCTTCGCAACAAACTCTCAACGATTCATCAATGTTCTGCCCACTGTCAACGGCATCAGCATCCAGACCTTCGATTTCTGAGCTCAAGCTTGAAGAAGCATCTAGAGAGGCAGTTTCTTTTAACAAGGGATTAAAATCCATATCCTCTTCCTCATCTTCATCATACGCATTCTCATTGTCACCCCTGTCACAATCACCATGAAGGTGTTCACTCTTTTCTTCATCAGCCTCTTGTTCTCGAGGACTTCCATCGTTGGATAGGTTGCCGCGTACCATGAACAAATTCTCCTGATTGGACTCCTTAACATCAGTAGATAATGCAGTTGAGCTCAAAGACATCTTCAGCACAATATTTGAAATAGTTTATACCGAGAGAATACTGACAAACATTTGAATTAACAACTCAACTGTATCATAAAAATGACAAATATTTGCCTCTTCCTCTAAGAGGCTCCTCCACAACAGCCTGTTGACATAGAAACCAACTCTAATTTTACACTTTCACATGATTTCATGGTGAACATAAAAAAAAAATGTTAAAAACTTTTTTCAATTTTTAGAAAAAAACAGTCAGGAATATTTACCTGAGGTCTATATGAAATTCAATGGTTATTATGAAACTAACAATTGAACAATGGCTTCAGAAACAGTAAACTTGCGGTTCGCCCAAAGCTCCAGCTGTTTGGAGGAGGTGATTAAACCACTTTAATTCATCAAAAACTGCTTCTTTTTATGCAAATTTACTGCAGTAACGTCGCCAATTCAGGTAAACTATTGACAAAGAAGAATCAAAATACCTAATTGATCGTAGAGAGCGTTCAACAATGGCCGATCAAACGCAAGCCACTGCCAGATAGAAGGATTTTGCGTCTTGGATTCGGAGGGTGAAAATTGAGACCCGGAAACCCGGTTGAGTGGACACAGTGTGACTTTACGCTTTTGCCCAAATTTTTTTTTTTTTAATGAGACGTGTTTTTTGTTTTCCTCAGCAAAAACTTCCACTAAAATCTATATAAATTAATATAAATGGGAAGATGAAATTTTATTTTTAGAAATATTACTTAATTAATAAATTAATATTTACTAATTTAAAAATAGATCGAGATTTAATGAATATTAATTTTAATTATATCAAAATTATTATATCTTACTAATTTATATATCATATTTATTAATATTATATGAATATTAAATTTATTATACATAAAGTACAATGTGTGTATAATTCATTGTAATATATATTTTTTGTTAAATGATTCATCGTAAAGAAATTCAAGAATTCAATCATTCATTGTAATATTATAGATAATGTTCATTGTTCCTTAATAATCAATTATTATTCATTTTATTTTCATTAAAAACATTTGTTGTATGAAGGTGAAAAAAAATACAAAAGTATCCAAAAATGGCTTGTCATTCAAAAAGAAGTCACAAAATCAACAATTGAGTACAAAAGAGATCATTTCACATGCACTCAAAAAGATTTACAGACGTGACATAATATTAAACATACTCAAACGATCAACTAAATATCTTTTGACTGACTTAGAAAAAGGAAAGGATATCAAGCGACACAAGCCAATAAAATATTCAGACATGGAAAAGGTTGTTTATGAGTGGCTCTCCAATATCAAAACTGTTTGGATATAACACGAGAGTTAATTTTGGAGAAGACAATAGATGCAATGAAACTTTCATATCCTCAACAAAATTTTGAGCACAAATTATCTCTAGATAGGCTTGAAAAAATAAATCTAAGACATGGAGGTATCAAGTCATTTTGTCGTTTCTGAGAAAACGGTTCAATTGATATACAAGACATGGAAACGAAATTGAAATCCATAAGAAAAAAAATTAGATTAATTTATTACAAATTATATTTTTAACATGGATGAAACTAACTTATTTTATAATTTACAAGTTGATCATCATTTTCTTGCTACGAAACAACTTGAAGGAAGAAAGCACGACAAAGAAAAGCTCACAATTGTTATTTGTTGCAATGAAGATGAATTAAAATATTCTTTTATGCATCATTGGAAAATATGCGAAGCCAAGTCCCTTTAAAAATGTCAACATGGACATCTTGAATTGTTACTATCGTGCAAACAAAAAATCATAGATGAAAAGTATAGTTTTTGATGAATATATTCATTGATTTGACCACAAAATGCATGGAAGACAAGTTTTGCTTATCGTAGATCGTTCAATCCATATTAGAAACATTGAAAGACTACAAAATGTTAAATTATTTTTCTTGCCACCCAACATGATATCCAAAATTCAACCTTGTGATATTGGAATAATAAGAGCTTTTAAAATGTATTATTGTAGGATATTAGAAGATTATGGAGTAGGATAAACCGATCCAACAAAGATTAATATTTTGGATGTTATCAATTTTACAATCCCTATTTGGATAACAAATGTACAACAAGAAACAAAAATAAATTATTTTCGACACTGCAAAAATTCGTTTGGAAGATGCAATCTCAGTGAATTTGGATGAACCCACTTGTGAAAATGTCATTCTTGAACTTGAGGCCATGATTATAATCTCGGTTACCACAATAAAATACATGTCAGTAACCTGTTGAATTAACCAGGTGAAAGTGATATATGTTCAGAGGTCCAAATCTTAGAAAGAATTGTGGATATGATCGGAAAAAACTATATCGATGATAAAGTTGAAGATGATACTATATCATTGGAAACAATTACGCGTAAGAAAACGCTTATCGCATCTAAAACTCATCACAATTTTATGGTACAGTTCGAAAAGACAACATCAGAACTCTTGGATATAATAAGAAAAGAATTTATAGAGGGTACCCAAACAAAATAATCCTTAATTGATACTAAGGGTAAAACATGATTTTTAAAAAAATATTTTTCATATGTTAAAAGTGAAAAATAAATAAAAAACTAGTTTTTAGAATAATGAACGAGTAAAAATAAATATAATTTGAAAAGAAAATACATTGTATTTAAAGATAAAAAATATATTACAATTTTTTAACTTTTTTAAAAGAGAAATGCGTGATCAAATATCATTTTAAATTTTGGCTTCAAAATTTTCTTTTGTATATTCTAACAACATGTACAAACTAAAAGTAACAACACTACGGTAAATTTGCACTATTTTTCAAGTACTTGGCTATACTTTAAATAGCAGTCTTAAAAGGTTCTACTTACGCAAATAGTCTCAAAATTTAAACTTAACGACAACACGAGCCCAAACCCGAATTCATCTCCGGGTAATGTAATGCGACATTTCGATTCTCAAATAGCAAGGCTTGAGACTTTTGAGTCAAACTAGGGTTTTGCTTGCAGAAGAGTAACTCGTCGGAGAAACAGCATCAGCAGCCATGGCTAGCACCAAAGTACAGAGGATTATGACCCAGCCCATTGTAAGTATCTTCCTTCTTTCCCATTTCTTCGTATGAGCAATTTTATTTTTGAACACTTTTTTGTGCTAAATTTGGGATTTTTTTTGTTTTTTTTACAGAATCTGATCTTCAGATTTCTTCAGAGTGTAAGTTTACTATCATACGTCTTTGTTTAAGTTTTTTTTTTCAGTTAAACGACTAAACAAAGGCTTAATTTCCAATTACTGTTTGAGTTATAATTTATGTGATTTTTATTTTTTTTGGCAGAAAGCTCGCATTCAGATATGGCTATTTGAGCAGAAGGATCAGAGGATTGAAGGACGTATTATTGTATGTTTTATAACTTGGTCTCCAGTTCAAAGAAGAAAAATAGATTAATATTTTTTGCTTATAATGAATTTCCTCCTACCAATATTTGTGAGACTTACTTTCTGGTTCATTCTCTTAGTTGTTGATTAATATTCCCTTAGCGCGTGCAGTAAATTAAGTTATTTCCCAGAGTAAATTCAGCATAGAATTTAGAGGCAATGCGTCCCATTTTCTTTTGGGTATTGATGGAATTGCTTATTGATTTCTTATATATTGAGTAAAGATCTATAGAGTTTAGTATATATCTGATTTTGAATGAGCTGTCAAATGAGCAGCCCAGGATAGAATTTTTGGCTATGAGATTTATCATTAGAATGGTTTTGAGATAATAAAGGTGCATAGTTAGGATGTATTAAGGATAAATTCCCAACAAAGGATTGAGGCAGTAAAAGAAAAAGAGAAACTTGACTAAATAATCTGGCTGTCGGAAAGCTCGGCAAGGAGAAAAGCAGTTTACGCTCATATTTCTTTAGCTTTCAACTAATTATATTTTACAAGTCATGTAGCCTTTCTTTTATTTTATTTTTTAAATTGCAATAGAAATAGTACCTAACATCTAGCTTCATTGTTGTCATGAAAACTTCCATTTCATGTAGCAAGCTCGTAAGTCATACTTGGCATATAGGTATAGATTTTAGACTATAGCTCACTGTTAGTTCCTATTGCTGAGCACACAGGCCTATGTAGTTGGACCAGACCAACTAAATGTTGTAATTATATGTAAAGTCTAGACTTAATGAACACATTTATTTTAGTTTGTTGTGTCAATGCTTGCATATACTTGAATTTGGGATAAACTGGACTGCTCAGAGTTTGAAAGGAGGAACTCTAATTCTCTAAAGAAATGTTATAATGAAATATCCACATTGTATAGCCTTGTATTAAAAGAGCTATAACATTTTCAATTGTAGTCATTTTAAGAAGTGTTGGTCAAATTATTGAGAAAGTGTGTTCTGGGGCTTTGACCTAAAACCTAGGGTTATTTTTTATCATTGATTCCCAAGTCAAATCTACATTACGGGGATTATTGAGAAATCATCTGTTTCCATGCGTGATCTTTACATTTTGTTTTGAGTATTTGTTGGCCTTCAATTACGTTACCTATATTGTTGTCAAGATTGCATATGGATAATTTGTTTTTTTTGTGTGTAGGGTTTTGATGAGTACATGAATTTGGTTCTAGATGATGCCGAGGAAGTCAATGTGAAGAAGAATAGCAGAAAGCAGTTAGGTGCGTAGTAAATAACTTTCAACCTAAGGCCTAGCCCTTTTCTCCCTCGGAATTACAACAAAAAATCATATTCTCTACTACTTTTGTTTCTAAGATGTCTTTGTTTCCTCTGCAGGGCGGATTCTTCTGAAAGGAGATAATATCACATTGATGATGAACACGTATGTTTTCGACTCATTGCTTTACCGCTTTTCCCGATGCACCTGAAAACATAGTTAATCACTCCTAACAAATAGGTTATAACTGCCATTATGAAATCTCTCCCCTTTGGCAGTGTAATGCTGATATATTTTCATTTGTTTTCTCTCTATTCAGGGGGAAATGATTTCCTGTTAGCTGGATCTTGAGAAGAAGTTCAATTTTCTGGCAAAAATCAACTATTGGAATGTCGTCTTTGTGGACAAGAAGCTGGATGTTAGATGCACATGATTGAGTTTGAACTTCCATTTATGTTTTGATATATGTATATTCAGCATGGTATGCTCAGATCTCTTTATACAGTGAAGAAGAGTAGCCTTATGACCATTTCTCTCTATGTTGGTAGTAACAATTATATCGCAGGTAAAGAATTGTGTTAACTCGAGAAATCAAGTGTTACTATGGATTTTTCATGTCTAATATGCTTTTTTAGGGTGGAGGTGTTGCCCAGTCATGGTGCATGACTAAATTTACATGTGATTCATTCTCAACGTTATCGTTACAAATGGATCCGTAAATCTTCGAGTGAAATTTCTCGTCTCACCAAACAATCATATAATCGTTTTTGGGACACACTTCAGGGAGACGATCTTTTGTAACAGTGTGATTCTTTCGTTCTAAAAAAAGAAATCTTGAATTCGAACTCTATGAGAATGACATTGACATAAAAGATTACCCCTTGAAAGGGTAAATTAGATATCGAAAAACCAATAATTGAATTGTCAATTCGAACT